TGGACATTTTTGTCTCTTTCTCATTAAAAAGTGGCAGATTTGCAAAAGTGGTTTCGTGTGTGGCATTCTTGCAAAGTGTCCATCCATTTGTGGCATTTTTGTAATTCTCCATTTATTATAATGAATTACAAAATATGGAGGAGTACTGGTATATATAATATGTTAGAAATTTTAAGAAATATCACTTTTGAAGTGTTACTTTTTAAAAATACCACTTTTTAAAAATCTTTGCAAAAATGCTATTTTTTCAAAATTATTCACTCGTTATATCATTTATGTTTGGGTTAAGTATGTTGTATTAGGGTTTAGTTTTGAGGGTGTAGGATTTGTTAAAGGTCAAAACATTTTTTAGGGTTTAGAATTTTAAGATTTGGACTTAAAAAAATCATAATTAGTGGTATTGTTGCAAATGGACAATTCATAATGGCATTTTTAAAAATGTACACACACTAAAAGTGGTATTTTTGCAATTGTTCCTATATAATATTCATGTAACGAACAATTAAATATGAGACATTTTTCCCGCAATTTCACGAGGGTTGAGTCCTAGTAAAAGCAATATAATGTATAAAGATTTACCCTTATCATATGCTGTATTTTTTTTTTTTTTTGAAAAAATTATCATATGCTGTATTAGCAAGTAATGATTCGTCGATCGGAAGCAGGAGATTCCGTGGTACAGAATGGTGCCACAAGTATGGTGGGTCAATGTATCATCCAGTTAGCAAGACTCTGTGGCATTAGGACCATCAACATTATTCGTGACAGGTTTATATATAGATATATAGTGTGATTCGAATTATATGTCTCGGATCAAGTAAATTATATCTTGAGTTATATATTCATGTATTTGTAGGGTTGGGACAGATGTAACAAAAGAGAAACTGAAAGCTTTAGGTGCAGATATAGTGGTTTCAGAGAGTCAGCTGAACGAAAAAAACTTCAAAAGTCATTTGGTAAGATTAAAAACCTATTTATTATATTTGGAAAGATATGCAATATCTTGTGAATAATTAACTTGCTAATTGCCCTTTGTATATTTTGGTAACTTACCAGTTTGTAGAGATCCGTAGTTAGATTGTGTAGTTGCA